CACACAAAAAAAAAAGAAAAAGAAACAGTCAACATCATGAGATCAGCTTGCGAACGACGTTACCGCCTGCGTGTTAAATAGTTTATGCCAAAAGTTAATTATCCCTCAGATTTCATTAACCTGCCAGACACGAAAAAAACAGCAAATAACATACACTGTCCCGGCTGTTCGGAAAATTCAATCAGTCAACGTCATGTTACCTGCTTGCGCACAACGTTAACGCGTTAAGAGAGCTAGCATTAACAATAAAATAGACGACACACAGTGAAAAAAAAAAAAAAAAAACTTTATTAAAAGAGCTTTTTTTTATACTTTTTCGCGGCGCAGAGTTTTGGGTCATTGACATGGGTACGGTGATTCGAGGATATTTGCCTACCTTCAGTGGTGAAACAGGCCAATAGTATGAACAGTGTGCAACAATATAAGCAACCGGCGGAATCTTCCCATACCTCCCCATGGGGACTTCTATTGCAGACGGCAGCGCCAAACCTCCCCGAACGGCCTTGGATTTCTCCCAAAACAATAACAAATAAACAAAACAATACGCGCACCGTCGTCATAGCAACTGCTGGGTTATGGGGGAGGGTGTGAGAAGTGTTGTCCCTCCTCTCCCTCTTTCTTACCCTCGGCGACAGAAGGATGCAAGTTCGTTTGGACTTCGGAGCAACCTCCGAGCTCCGAACGAATTTGCATCCTAATGTCGTCGATGTTGAGAGAAAAGTTAACTGATCCTATTGCCGTCGTCTCGTTCTTCTACAAAACAATGTAATATAAATATATTTTTTTTATAAAAAAAAAAAGTGCGTTTACCTTTATCTGCGAATGTCCGACGCTTCCGAAACGATTGCAGTTGACTTTGCGTCGCTCGATTGAGATTGTCTCGGCACCAGTGCATGTTCAGTGACAGCCATTTCTCAGTAGATCGTCAATCAATGAATGCAAAGTGCGCCCAGCCGATGGTATTTCGCGGCTTAAGATGGGCACACATCGCCAGTTTGAGCACAAGTCCAAACTTCTTTTTGAAAGTTTTCGTTTTATTTGGCACGCTTTTATACAGAAAAAAGCTCGCAGGTTCCTTCTGCAGCGCGAGCTGCGGTGCTCCAACACCGATCCCTTCACACCGCTCATCTTAACATAAGTGCCTCGCCCCTTTTGACCTTCTACAATAATTCCATCGTAATGAAGCATACGTCATCAAGTTTTCGGCAAATCCGAAACTATATAACCAAAAGTATAGCAGCCCCTGTCTTTACCTTTCGTCACTCGGGAACCCAAAGAACTTGGCAGAGCTGTTGCGCCACCGGAATCGGAGCACCACTGAGTCGACCAATATACAAAGTGCCCTTTGATCGGCGTACTGGTAGGCGATATAGACCGATAACCAACAGGTCAACGCCACTGCCCCGCTGCCGCAAACGAAAACCACCACCGCACCAACGGCACAGGCGGCGTCGATCAGCCTACTCCCAGTTGCGTTTCGGCCGCGGCCACTGGCCAACACGGGGGCATGCGTTAAGCTTGTCAATTACAGCTTAGAATGCACTGCCACCTTTTCTATTAAGCCGAAAGCCATATATGTCTCATCGTTCAGTCGACCTTCAAAATCCTTAAACGAAAACACGTCGGCGACTTGAAAGGTATCGAAACGTTCACGTGACATCTGCGAATTTTAATATTCCTCCGAAAACACGTTTCGCTCTCGGCTGGCGCCGAACCACCGACCTTTTGTTCTGTGGTATGATGCAATACCACTCCGCCACATCCGTAAATCATGTGTCTGTCTTTAATGCATCGCTGCTTGGGCTTTCGCCTTCAGGTCGTCTCAGGGAGAACACAAGAGACCCTGTGTTTTGGTTGATTTTTGGCTATGGTCACCGACAGGGTGAAAGCAGTAGGAAGGGGCTTCGGTTGTGCTGCCTCCAGCGCGAGCTTCGTATACCTTCGACAGTCCGCCGGCGTCTCGTGCACCTCGAGCGCGCGCGCAAGCGCAGCCAAAGCACGACGGAAGGCAGGGAAGCGCGTACTGGAGGCCGGGCGTTCGAAAGGCGCACGCCCTGCCGTTGAGCAGTTTGTCAGTGACTGCAGCCCTAAAGTGGGCCAGCTCACATTGCCGCTGAGAAATACAGTTCCTCACAGGCGATACCGCGCGTGGCGAAAAAACAAACAAAAAACAATCGGCATGTAAAAAGAAAAAAAGAAATAATAAAAGTGATATACAATTTTTTATGAAGCAAGGTATTTCAATAAGAAATCGAATAGCGTCACTTCACGGAGTAAGAGTTTACCGTAATTATACGTTCTCTTATTAACCGGCGTTTCTATATAATAATAATAATAATAATAATAATAATAATAATAATAATAATAATAATAATAATAATAATAAATCTTGATTTTGTTTCATCACTGAAACGGGGGACCAAGATAAAAAGCTGCTGCAGCAGCTTCACGGAGGTCCTGGCCCGCTTTACGGCAGGCGATTCCCAAGCAATTTCAGAAACAAATTTTCAAGAACAACAATTTCAGAACCACAGATAAAACAAAAAGCAAGATAAAAAATATGAAATTAAAACATTCATTGTACTATACAATGATACAGCGATCCGTATGCCTTAGCCGTACCTAAAAAAACAACCCTAAAATAATGCTCGTACCTCTGCCATCGTCATTGCATGAATATCAACACATTTTGAAAATAATTCATTTAATAAAGTAGTTAATTGGTAATTTAGCGTGTGGTTATAGCTAATGTATGTGATGGTGAAACAATTTTTCTTTACGGCGGAGTTCCTATGAGGAAGTGAAAAAGACTAGGTTACATAATTCCTCAAAAACTTTATTTTTAAACTGCGTAGACTTCTTGTACGCCACAAGATGTCGACACCTGTAAATATATGAAATTGGTTTTATATTAAACAGTGAGAACAAGTGTTCAGTAGGATCATAGTATGAAACATTGGCAATAGCACGCAGAGCTTTCTTTTGTAAAATAGGTAGTTTATTTATATTTCTTTATGTTGTATTTCCCCAAACTATATGACAATAATTAGGTTGGGAATATACCAAAGCATTATGAAGTTGAAGCTTAACAGAACACGGAAACAATGACTGCTTTCGACCGTTTAGACGAACGGTAATCAACATGCTTATTCCAAGACATGCTATTTGCAAAGCAAACGTCCAAAGTCCTAATAGTGTCGACAAATTCAATTTCTTCATTGTTCAAAATCAGTGGGTTTGGGATCATAACTGCAGCATGTTCACTTTTCAATAAAATGGCTTTGGTTTTTTTGCGAATTTAACTTCTTTCGCCCATTTTTCCACACGGCCAAGAACGCTATTACATTTAGTTACTAGAGTACGGATACCTTTATCGAAAAAGAAGATGCTAGTGTCATCATCATATATAATAAACTCAACTTTAAGATCACGATTTACATTCACGATATCGTTAATATAAAGAATGAAAAGTAGAGGGCCTGAAATGCTGCCTTGAGGCATACCATTTGTTATTTTTGAAATATCAGATTTAAAGTTTAATATAGACACGAACTGGGTACGATTCTGTAAGCAAGATTGTAACAAACTTAATGTTTTCCCACGAATGCCATAGTATTCTAATTTTGCTATGAGGACATTGTGATTTATTGTGTCGAAGGTCTTAGAGAAATCTAAATATTTACCGATTGTTAATAAGTGATTATCTAGTGCTCTTAATATTATTTCTTTTTGTTTTAATAATGCTGACTCAATGGAATAACTTTTACGGAAACCAAATTGAGAATTTGTAATTAAGAGGTATTTCTCAAGATGAGAGACAATTCTATTTGAAACTACTTTTTTCGAGTGGCTTAGAAAATACTGGAAGTATAGAAATTGGTCTAAAATTGTTAATATTATTTTAATCACCACCTTTATGCAATACACTAACTTTGGCAATCTGCATTTTGATAAGAAACTCACCGGACTCAAGTGCAAGGTTGAATATATAAGTTAGGTATGGTGCTAGCATATCTAGAACCCACTTTGCTGGTTTTATGTGCATATTGTATGCTTCTACTATTGTGTAGGCTCATGAATATGTCATAGAGTTCGGACACATCAGTGGGAAAAAGAAATATGGAATTAGGCAAGGGTGAAGGCATGCACTGAAGTGCATTATCTACAGTAGTAATAGAGACAGGAGATGTGGTATGATTAACAAAATAGCTATTGAAAGCATTCACCATATCCGTCCCCGACATTATACAACCATTTATGTTAATTTCAACTGACATAAAAGCCTGTGGTTTGTAGTTAAGCAATGTTTTGAGTCTTTGTCACATCACGTCACTTTGACGTATATCATCGATATTAAACATATTAATGTAATAACCTTTCTTCGCTCGTCGCAGCATGTGTTTGTTAGTTTGTTTCTATATTTCTAAAAAATCTCAAGTTTCGAGTTTTCCCTAGATTTCAAAAACTGCCCATATAAGTTGTTTTTTGACGATCCTACCGAGGTTCTTCACCTAATTTATACACAAATGAAACTCCTTGAACCATCAATAAACACAAAAATGCTGTGGCATTCAAAATGTAAAAAACGTTCTTCACTTCCTTTTTTTTCTGGGGGGGGGGGGGGGGGGGGTGTGAGGAGGGGGGGGAGGTGAACACATGGAACGAAAGCTTGCTTTGCAAAACTAGGGATCTTAGGTTGGATCGGCAGTTCTACTCGTTTCGATTTGAGTGAATATGTGCAGCCCGGTATCACCACTGTGTGATGCACATTAAATACCCCAGGCTAACAGTAGCGCAGCATCGTATATATTTCTCACCTACATCGGGAACGAGTGTTGCACACACTGACAGACTAAGCTTACGCTATCAAAAGAACTGTTCGTCAAATTCGCTTTCTTCTATTCGTTGGGAAAGTCCCCGTTTTCACCCACTGAACCTTGTAATGGAGTCGACGACGTTCTGACGCTTTTCCCTTTTCTCTCTTCTCTCCACTTCAACAGATGCCACGGTGACCATCCTAATGCTGCTCAACAGCCTCAACAGTTGTGTCAATCCCTGGGTTTACCTCTTCTTCAACCGGAGTCTGGTGCACACGCTCAGACACCAGATCTGCAGGTGTCCCGACGCCAAGAACGTCAGCAGTGGCATCGCCGGAACCGGAAGTTGCCCCTCCGCCGTCATCTTGGCGGACCTCACCACGCAGGGCACCGAGGCGCAGAGCGTACTCAGCTACAAGAGTTCCCCTACTGACACTAGTGCTAGACTGGCCACCGCCGTCGTCGGAAAACGGGGAGCAACAGATGTGGAGGAAGACCTTCACTGTTCCTTGGAGAAGACCTCTGGGGCGAGTGACGCGCGTGCCACCAAGGGAACGGTGGACACCATCGCCATCGCTTGGCGAGGCGGGCAGGTCTTGGCCCGAAAGACGTCCTCTTCATACCAGGACATTCTGGCTTGCTGAGGTTCCGTGTGCTGTTTGAGTTCACTCGAGAAAGCAAGATGAACTGCAAAAAGAAGACCATAGATTAAGTCTTGAGACTCGTCTGTTGGACTGATCTGCAGAAAGGAGGACAGGAACGTCACCAGGTTGCAACATACCCGTGTCAGGAAAGCACCGGGAGTTAAAAAGAATAAGAACTTGACAGGCTGTGAGACGAAATCAAGGTAACTTCATGGCTAGATCGTAAAGTTCCCGTCCACAGCCCTAACTTACTCAAATAATTTAAGGCGATTTGTAAACATGTTTATTCAGCCCGCCACTCTTTGCCAACGGTAATGGGGCGTGCAGACATTCTAGTAGAGTTCGAGCAATCGTAAAAATTATTCAGGAGGTTTGACTTGAGTGTTGAAAACAATAGGCTACTAGGCGTAGCAAGGGGATGTCTTTTTTTAACTGTCAAACTAGAACGTCAAACATCAAACTCATGCCGTAAAGATTAAAGGAAAAGAAAATTGTGTATTTGCTCTGCTGATCACGACAGCCGATAAGAATCGGTTGAATATTGCAGTGCTTATTTTCACACATATTGCTGAAGATAAATCTATCCACCCCACTGTCATCCAAAATGTCCTCTTAAATTTTTTCACCAAGAAGATTGATTTCGTGTGGACATAAAAAATGCCGCCGATTCCAGTGGTTTCCTTGCAGCATGGACTCTTTTGTCTGTCAATCGCAGTATATAATATGCACACGACTGCACAAAAAACAGCAACAACAACAACAACACGATATTGAAATTCATGGCTTTCTAGAATATTTTTTCTTTATGGTGTTTCATCCATATATAGGCTGACATATGGCAAACATGTCAAACGCGAGAAACTTCGTCGGCTACCGCCATTGTGAATCCGGTGTCATCATCTCCAATAAGAAACCGTGTTTGGAAAGTGCTACGTTACCGCTCCAGCCAAGTAAGACGACTAATCAACATGATATATTTTCGGGGTACCGGGTACTTCGGTACCGAATGATGTGGCACCAAAAGGTGCAATACTGGAAGGCCCGGTACCTGGCATTTTGATATCGGATGATACGATACCGGATAATTCGGTACCGGATGATGCGTTACCAAGAAGTTCAGTACTGGATTACTCGGTAGCAGGCATTTCGGTCCCGGATATTCGGCACTGAATGATTCGGTGCTAGATAATTTGATACCGGATAGTTCAGTTACTTGGTGCCCGATTCGATGGGGACATATTTATTTCGGTGGATAGTTGATTTGAATCAAATATAATCGAATGCTGCTTCATGAAAGTCGTTCTATACACCGATAAACAAGCGCGACGTCAGGTAATTACTGTAGGCACTGCAGATGTGCGAAGAGCTAAACAATAAAAATGCGCGAGCCGAATGTCTAAACTTCGCCCGGGAAAAGCGTGAAAAGCGTCCCCACTGCGGACTAAGATCAATAATACAATTCGTCTGTATAAAAAAAACGTCAACACACCGTTTTCATTCTTTTAAAGGAACGCTGAAGAGATTTCCAATATTTAATTTCACGGTTCTGCCTAGCAGACACTACTCCAGGCTATGTTCGTGAGAAAGTGCTAATAATAAAAAAAAAAAAGAAATCTCGTTTTAGGATTTAAATAAACTGGAAATGAGACAATTGTAAGTGTGACTGTGGCGGAGAGAAAAAAAACGAGTGTAAGAAAAAGTGGAAATGAGACAATTGTAAGTGGTGGAGAGAAATAAAATGAGAGAGTGTGAGAGAGAGGGGGGGAGAATGAGACATGGAGAGCTAATGTGCGAGTTTGAATGGATCGTTATATTCGATTCTTGAAAGAGAAATATCTCAGTTTCGGTGGCTGGCCGGCGTTCATTTTCCTGCGCTCTCTTTAGTGAACAAAAACTGTTCTCGAAAGTTTCGAGAAAAAACAGATAGAAGCAATATTGATCTCACGGGAAGCTCGTTTAAGCGAGGGTGGGTCCCGAGATCTTTGGCTCGTTTTATACAGTATCTGTGACGTTGCGGTCAGGAGGGTTGACGTTCCCCGAGGCCCATATCCACTCCTCTAGCGAGACGGACAAAGGAACATAGAAGGATACATATGGTGCATGGAAGGCGTCTCCGGTTGGTGTATTTTCCGCGTCCAAAAAAATGAGGTCACTCGATTTCCGCCTGGTGACGTCATACAAGTGTCACTTTGTCGCCCGTTGCGATCCTAGCGGCGTCCCAGCAGCGGTGGTGGATGCGGCGGACGCCTGTTCTGTTGCAGATCGCTCTCCAGCTCGACAGTCCCCGGAAGTTTCGGCAACCAGTAGTTGGGACGCCGTGACGACAGCGACACTCGCGTTCGTTCGTGTTTTTCGCCAGCATTTCTACGACCAACCGCCAGGTTCGCGACATCCGACAGCGTGACGCTCCAGCCTCTGTGACGTCATTTGTTGCCATTTCGGAGCCACTTTCGATGCATAGGCGGAATGCGAAGCGCAAGTTCGTCTGCTTCTTTTGCGGGGGTTCTGGTGACGTCAGAACACCGAGCCCTGATTGGCTCTAATTGAGGGATAGTGGGGAGAGGTCAAAGCAAGCTGCCTTGAGGTTTATTCACTGTCCTTTAATCAGAACCAATCAAAGCTCGGCGTCTTTCTGACGCCACCACAACCCCTGCGAAAGAAGCAGACGAACTCGCGCTCCACATAAGACGCTAAACACACCTGTATAGAGACGCGTTCCAGTCAACGTGATGAATACGCAGCGGTCAAGCGCTCAGCGAGAGAGAGAGAGAGAGAGAGAAGATGTATCACGTACGTTTAGCCAAAGCACAACGGAGAGCAGCGAGCGTCTGGTGTAGGCTGGGCTTCCGAAGAAAACACCCTGTCGTTCTCACCCTGCCGGTAACTAAAATGAAAGCTCCTTCACATTTCCAACTCTGTCAATTCCTGGAGTTTTCGACTATTTAAGAATGAAAACAATATCATCTGACAGATCGCGGGTGTTTATTAATAACAGCTAAACTTTTCGCGGTCTAATTTTAATGAAAAAAAAAAAAAAAATCCGAGGACGCCTAAGCGCCTTTTACGAGTTGTGAATGCGAAAGCATGAATGTCGTCCTTCCGCTCCCTTAGATCGTCTGCGGTGTACTGCAGCGTGGACGGCCACGTTTCACTACTGCCGAGGTAGCGGCCGACGGCCGAGCACGCGCGCTCTCGTGAAGTGGCAGCGCCGCGCTGAGCCTAGGTGTATTGGCTGAGCACGGCCGCGCAGCCTCTCTGGAGTTTGCCCGTGCGGGCCCTGCGGCCAGCCCCCACCTTTCATTGGAGGCGGGCCGCTGCGTGCGCTGCGCCGCCATGGAAATGGTTTTTGTAATGGCGTTCCTTGAAACTACGCCGCGTTGAAGTTAGTGGGAGCCTCGTTCTTTGAAACTATGACGCGCGCCAGCCAATGGGAGCCTATCATCAGATTTCTGTTCAAGACGACAGGCTTCGCTTCATTGGGATAGGGTAAGGTGCCGTTTGGCGCGGCTTCAGAAGCTGCGGACGTCAGTTCGCTCCATGGGACAGTTAATGCTTTCGCATTCGCATTAATAACTAGTCTTAGGTACATTTATTACTATAATAAAAAAAAAAAACTTTCAGTCTATATATAGCCATTAACATGCATTCATCCATCTGTCCATCCAGGGGCACGAAGCCTGTGATTGGACACGAGTCATCGTCGAGCACTGACGCAGCACTGGTTTTCGATACGAGCTGAGCCGAGTTTATGCCGAATGCTGACGTAACCCTCGTGTTCAATACGTATGTGCTCGAGCGATGGAGGACTCAGGTAATTGGCGCAGCAGCTACTAGATGGCGCGGTGTTTTAAGTAAAACGAGCAAGCTTCACAAATGTATGAACGGAAAGTTGCGAAGAAAAAGGAACCCTCATTAGTTGTGACAGGTCTGGACGGTGGGCCTGCATCTCAGAGACTGACTTTAAAACCCCTGAAGAGGCTGCAGATTTTGATTTCGTCTGCAGTATATGCAAAACCATAGATGAAATGGGCAAGTCACATAGGACAAGGACGGATGATCTGGAAAAAAACGTGAACGAGGTTATCCAGAGGTTAGAGGATGCAACTCGCCATCGCCAAGGCAAACCAAATGAAACCTACATGATCTGAAAACTTCAGGACCGAGTGACAGAATTAGAACAGCGCGTTGAAGAGCTTGAGAAGAAACATTGAGCAGCCCTCATGATGGAATCGGTCTTTATATAACTATGGTAAGTTGTGAAGAGAACAGCGAGCATGACACAGGAGACAATGGAAGCAAGCAAGATAAGAGTGATGATCCGGGGCCCGAGCCCAAAGATTTATATTCGGTGCAGGTGACCGGAACACAAGGGAGTAGTCTGCCTATAGGGAGTCTTCAGAGCGGAGATCCGGACTCCAGTCAGCGCGAGCAAAACTTGGTGCATGAAGACGCAGGGAGCCAAGAAGCTGCCGGCGCAGTGATAGCTGGATCCAATCAGGCAGACGACATCCACTATCCTGCCAAAACAAGAGAGCGACACCCGCAGCAGGGAATTTCCAGAGAACAGTTGCGACCTCCACAAGGAGTAAAGCGGGAAGTCATCGTGGCCGGTGACAGTAACGTTGCCCGATTTGCGCACCCGCTCGCTGATCTAGTAGGGGACTTTCAATCTATGAATGTTATACTCTACAGAAGTGGAGCAACAGAAATGGTACATCAACTAAATGATGTATATGAAGAGAAGTCGCGTAACGTACCCCGAATGTATATCTTACATGGAGGGGTGAACGGCATTCTACAGGGCGCTCATCACGATGCGATTGCAGAACGCCTGGGACTGATCAAAGTGGACAAACCGCAAGAATGCATTGGTCGTCTGCTCAATCCCGGAAATCAAGAGCAGAGGCATGGGAATTCAAGCAACAACCATGCTTCTAAAGGCGAAGTTAAAAAAAATGTGCAATGACATCAAGGCCAGGTTCGTCGATCTAAGCCGAGATGTGAGTGTTCGCGCACGTGATAAAAGGATGGATGTCTGCAAGGGCAGAGAGGAATCGAAAGCTGACCGAGCTTCAGAATGGCTTCTGAAAAGACCGCTGACTGGAGGATAACTTCTTTGTTTTAACATAGAGATAGCCAGAAAAGAAGGCAGGGACTTCATATGCTGCTTCCTAGATGTCGCTAAGGCGACAGAGTGCCACATGGGTCCTTGTTCCACTGCCTCAAAAGACTAGACATGCCTGACCAGTGGACGAAATTGATACAGCGACTATACGACGAAGGTATACTGTTACAGCCGCGTTTGGGGACTGAAGCGGGGTGCCCTCTCTCACCTCTACTGTACATGTTGTACACGGCAGAAATGGAGCGCAGATTAATAACATCCGGTTTAGGGTTTCCACTCCGCCGCATAGGAGATGGATGCGTGACACACTGGACATACTGAGTCTTGCATACGCGGATGGTATCGTCCTCATGGCTGAAGA